TGGAAGGGGTAGATATATTACAGAATTAATATTTACATGATGTAATTGATGAATAACTTTGTATAGAAGAGACCACTTTGACCTGTGTGTGTGTGTGGTGTAATGGTCAGCATGCTCGCCTCGCAAATGAGTGGTCCCAGGTTCGATTCATGAGCACAGTAAACTAATGGGCAGGTTTCTTTACGCCATTTGCCTCTGTCTACCCAGCAGTAATTGGGAACCTGGATGTTAATCGATTTGTGTTCTGGGGTAATGGTTAGCCAGTGCAGTTGGCGAGTTGTCCGGTCTTCTCGGACTATTCCTTGGCACTGGGTCATGCAGCTCGTTAACTCAGGGTGTGGTTGTTGTGTTGGTGACAGCTTCTACACCTTAAACACTGGGTCATGCAGCTCGTTAACTCAGGGTGTGGTTGTTGTGTTGTCGACAGCTTCTACACCTAAACACTGGAGTCATGCAGCTCGTTAACTCAGGGTGTGTGGTTGTTGTGTGGCGACGAAAGCTTCTACACCTTAAACACTGGGTCATGCAGCTCGTTAACTTAGGGTGTGGTTGTTGTGTTCATGACAGCTTGTACACCTTAAACAGTGGGTCATACAGCTCGTTAACTTAGTGTGTGGTTGTTGTGTTGGTGACAGCTTCTACACCTTAAACAGTGGGTCATGCAGCTCGTTAACCCAGGGTGTGGTTGTTGTGTAGGTGACAGCTTGTACACCTTAAACACTGGGTCATACAGCTCGTTAACTCAGGGTGTGGTTGTTGTGTTGGTGACAGCTTCTACACCTTAAACACTGGGTCATACAGCTCGTTAACTCAGGGTGTGGTTGTTGTGTAGGTGACAGCTTCTACACCTTAAACACTGGGTCATGCGAGCTCGTTAACTTAGGGTGTGGTTGTTGTGTTGGCGACAGCTTCTACACCTTAAACACTGGGTCATGCAGCTCGTTAACTTAGGGTGTGGTTGTTGTGTTGGCGACAGCTTCTACACCTTAAACACTGGGTCATGCAGCTCGTTGACTCAGGGTGTGGTTGTTGTGTTGGCGACAGCTTCTACACCTTAAACAAATTCACACCTAGGTGGTCCTTGGGTCGGCCATCCTCGAACACTAGGGGCAACCATTATATGTATGTATGTATGTATGTATGTATGTATGTATGTATGTATGTATGTATGTATGTATCATATTTATCTAATGGTCACCTACTAAGTGACAAAAGGTCGCCATACTGAGGGAGGGAAGTGTACAGTATGTATGACTGTGTTTATGAACGCTGAGGGGTGTCTAATCTTCAGGTGTTCCGCTTCGTGTGTGTGTGTGTGTGTGTGTGTGTGTGTGTGTGTGTGTGTGTGTGTGTGTGTGTGTGTTGCCAGCCTCCACCGCCGGGTCCTCACCATTAACACAACTCATGGACAATTAATGGCTCCCCTTATTGACAGTGTATTGTGATATGTTGATAGAAGTGACTGTCAACAAAATCTTACGTCTCAGGTTTAATTATCGTGTGTGTGTGTGTGTGTGTGTGTGTGTGTGTGTGTGTGTGTGTAGGGCTCACCATACTGTGTATCCCAGCAGGCGATCGTGGTAGTGCGTCCTCCATCAGTCTCACACAGCCTTATTATTTCCTGCCAACGCCCCCCTTCCCTCTCTCTCCCGCACCTGTTTCCCCTCTCTCCCGCTCCTCCTTCCCTCCTCACCGCTGACCTCCCTCCCCCTACTACGCCATCCTTCCCTCCTGCTGCCCCTCCCTCCCCTGTCGCCCCCAAATAACCCACCCTCCTCGCCTTTTCTCCTTCCTTCTCTTAGCTCTCCTCTTCTGCCGGTACTCCTATATTTTTTCTCTTATATATACCACTGGCCTCACTCTTCCCCACATATTTCCCGCCCGGCTCAACTGCCTTGGCCTCCTCTTCCTCCTTCCCCTGGCCTCCTCTTCCTCCTTCCCCTGGCCTCTTATTCCTTCTTTCTCCTCACCTTTCCCATCTCCCTTTTTATCCAGTTCCTCTCTCTACTTCTCTCCTTTCTACCTTTCCTTGCCTTACCTCTCCCATTCTCTTCTCTCACCTCCCCTCCTCTCAGCACCTCTCCTCTCCCCGCGGCGTGATGTGGTGGGCGCGGCGGGTGGTGGGCGGGGTGGTGGCGGGAGAGTAAGTATTCATGTTAGGGTGGCGAGGGCGTCAACGGGGGGCGGCGGCGGCGCAGTGTTTGACCTCTCTACCCCTAACACAACCCCCTTATCCCTTCCCCTTACCCCTTCCCCTTACCCACCCCCCTTCCCCTTACCCACCCCTCCCTTACCCCTAAACTGTGTCATCGTTCTATACTTAACCTAAAATGTTTTGGTCATAGGTTGGGATTTTTATAAAGGTGTATTTTGTTGTTCAGTGTGAGGGAGTACATTCATTTGTTTACCTGTGTTGATATGACAAAGGTACTCAAACTATCCAACCAGGAGCGAACTCGTAACAATGGTTTTAAATTAGACAAATTTAGATTTAGACGCGAGATAGATAAACATTGGTTTGGAAATATAGTAGTGGAACAAGTTACCAAACATGATCATTAACTCTAATACGCTGGATAGCTTCAAACATACTGTAGGTTGGATGGATATATGAGCAATAGGGGTTGGGTGTAAACGGGACTGTCCAGTATGACCCGCTGCTGTTTACTCCATAATTATGTTCTTATGGTTTTTCTGTTGTTGTCCAGTGTGGGAAATTAATGTAGTGATGATCCTGGCGTCCTGCAGGGGCCTGTATGTGTGTCCTGTAGGGGCCTGTCTGTGCGTCCTGCAGGGGCCTGTATGTGTGTCCTGCAGGGGCCTGTCTGTGCGTCCTGCAGGGGCCTGTCTGTGCGTCCTGCAGGGGCCTGTCTGTGCGTCCTGCAGGGGCCTGTCTGTGTGGCTGGGTAACGGATAGAAGGGTCGCTGAGGACACCCCATTTCACCCAGCTGTCAATGGGTCCCAGGCCTTTATTGTTATGACTTGGATACATTTTGTTAGACTATTATATATATTATACTTTGTGATACTACCACTACCACTACTACTACTACCACTACCACTACTACCACTACCACTACTACTACTTATTTTTTTTTTTTAAACGTGGCCTCCAGCCTCCCCCAATAGCCACACCTTCGCCACCATTTAATTACCTTAGTATTAAATATCCTAATACATAAGAAACTATCCTATCTGTGTTGAATTAGTTGAGCCGCAGATCCATGCGGCATTCAGTGACTGTAGCCTCATAGTCAATATCTGCAGCAGTTGTCGGAGTTGGGGCAGAAGTTCTCGTTCCCCTGAGGCAGAGCAAAGCCGACCGAAGGAGAGAGGAGGACAGTCGACATCTCATCCAGGCTGTAACATAACTTCTGGGCTGCTGCTTCTGTTCGGAGATCTCCTCCGCGAGTCTGGCGTAGAAACATCTTGCACTTGGTCCCATCCCACCAGAGGTTGTGAACACTAGAGGAGTGAAGCTGCCTTGATCAACGTTTTGAATTCTCTCCCCATATGCCCTTCTCTTGTCGTTCTCGTTCCTCCTATGTGCAGCATCGAGAGCTAGGTTACGGTGACATGCGGCCATGGGATCAAAAATCCTGATGTCGAAGAAAGCTCGCTGTCCCGCGTCCAGAATCCTCGAGCACTGACGTCCACACGGGCTTCGTTAGATGTGTTTGAAGTCCTGTGTTGGAAGATCTCACCATCCAATGGAAGGAGGGTCGGTTCTACCATGACATCCCGGCAGATTTCCTTCAACATATTTGCTGTGAGATCCCTTACCTCGCCATGCCTCGTGCATATGAAGCCCCCCTTCTTACACACCATGGCGTGATCGACGTCATAGGAAGAGCCACACACGCCTTGGGAGGGCAAACCTTCTACTGGGCGACCGTACCTTAGAGCAATGTCTCTACTACTACCAATAATAATAATAATAATAATAATAATAATAATAATAATAATAATAATAATAATAAAAATAATAAAAGGTTTAGAAATGACGTTGTTGTTGTTGTTGTTGACGGTGGCAGGCGGTGTTGAGGACCAGCTTGGTGGTGGTAGCGGCCATATTGGTGGTGTCAGTGTTATCACGGGAGACTATGGCGAGCACCAACCATGTCATCTGTTACTACGCCTCCTGGGCACACTACCGCCAAGGTCAGTCATTACCGCCATGGTCACGCCAGGTCAGTATTACCAGGTCACGCCAGGGTAAGCAATTTCTAACTAATCCCTTATAGGTAAGACCACTGGATTAATTTCTATATTTATACTTTTCAGGTAAACATTTAAAGAAAGAATTAATAATATTTTGTCCTAAAGTATTATTATGGATATCACGGTAAAAGGTCAGGTTAGTTTAGGTAAGGTCAGGCCAGGTTAGGTCAGGTTAAGTTAGGTTGGTCATCAGTTATAAAGATTCATTGTTACCTTGGAGTTAAGTCCTTTTAAATGTCTACTTAAATATGTCTGCAGCCGAGTATATTATTTTTGCTTATTGATAACATTTGATTAAGTAGGTGAGTATAACTTAGAGAATATATGTCTTTATGGCTGAGTAATAACTAAGAGAATATATTCAATGTCTTGTTAGTTGGTTGTTCCAGCCTTTAGTTTCTCTCTCAACCCTCAGTGGACCAGGCAGTTATTAAATGACTTTTATCACCACAGTACACCCCTCCCCCCCACCACCTCCCCACTCCTCACCCCCACCACCTCCCCCCACTCCTCACCCCCACCACCTCCCCACTCCTCCCACCCACACCACCTCCCCACTCCTCACCCCCCCACCTCCCCCTCCTCACCCCCACCACCTCCCCACCCCTCCCCCCCACCACCTCTCCACTCCTCACCCCCACCTCTTACCTTCAACCACTCCTTCTTCTTCCCCTCCCATCTTCAATTACTCCCTCTTCTCCCCCTCCCTCTTCCAACCACTCCCTTTCCCTCCCAACCACTCCCTCCTCCCACTCCTTCCCTCCTCCCACTCCCTCCCGCACCAGCTGGTCCTTACAGATGATTGTCCGTGACTCTTGACCCCGGGTATGTGGTGGACAGGTGGGGTCTAGGAAGGGAGGGGAGGGGACGAGGGTGGGGAGAGGAAAGGAGGGGACAAGGGTGGGTACTACATGCTGTGACCCTTCCAGCCTCTCCTTGACCCATGCTGGCGACACTATCCAACGCCTCCCTCCATAATCCTTCTCCCTCAAACTGTTTATTCACTCGTTAAGGAATATCTCAAGAGTAGAGGAGTTTTCTCTTGATGACATAGTGAAGATAACATTGTCATGGTCCCAGCCTGTTGAGTGGTGTATGATTAATGTTTCACTGTTGTATTGTGCTTTAGTTACTGTGTACACCACTCGGTCAAAAATACAAGGGGTGCTCAGTGTAAGTTTAGTTTGGATCACCTAAAGATTAGACACCCCAGCTTATTTCACCTGAAGATTAACTACCCTAATTCAACCTAACCACCTCCCCAGGTAGCATTAGGTACTTAATCATCAGGTGAAATAAGTTTGGGTGTTTAATCTTCATGTGGTTCCTTTAGTTCCTATATTGTACAGTATTTATGGTTACAGGTCAGGCCAAGTACACAGTGGAGGACATCCCCGTGGACCTGTGCACTCACCTCGTCTACGCCTTTGCCATCCTCGACCCCAAGACCTTCCTGGCTAAACAACACGACCCATGGCTGGACAACGACCTCAAGAACTATGATAAATTCACCCAACTGAAGAATAAGAAGCCCGACCTGAAGGTGAGTGTGTTGATTATACGTTGCTGTAAGTGGTGTGGGGTAGTCCTGGAGTGTGGGTGGTCAGGGGGGATAACCTTGTCCTGTAGCTCACTTTCTCACTACACCACAACTCTCTCCATACCATTGCTGTATATATTTCACAATAAACCATCTTCTTCCTCTTAGTCTCTCATCACCACCATCTCCAAACTCAAGGAATATGTCATTAACAAAATATTAAACACACTCAAGAACACTACACTACTTTCTTCACTGACACAATATAGTTTGTTTCAGTAATTCCCCCATTGATGTGTATTGTCCAGTCGTTTACTGTTTATTTGTGTTGTTTAAAAATTTTTGGAAATTGGTATAAGAGTGTACTGTACTGTGCTATGCTGTGCTATGCTGTGCTATGCTGTGCTATACTGACAGGTGCTGCTGGGTTTGGGTGGGTGGAATGACTCCCGCAGCAACAAGTACACTCGGCTGGTGGCAGATGCTGGACTACGGCGTAAATTCGTGGAGGAGGTGGTCAAGCTGCTGCTCCAGTACAACTTTGATGGTCTTGACCTGGACTGGGAGTACCCGGGGTATGAGGGAAGCCCCAGTGATAAACAAGGTAACAAGAGGAAACATTGTACACAGTTGCTTTGTCTACTCTTCAAGAATTTTCTATAAACAACAGGAAATATAGTTAAGGTTTATCACTTAATAGAGTAAAAGAAAAAAACAATGAGAGATGATGGCAAGTGTTCTGAGTCAGGCAGAGGCAACAGTCACACTTTGTAGGTGATACATTACTGGTTGTTCAGTGAGTCATGCCACCACATCACCAAAGTCACTGCCATTCATTCTTCTCAGTGTTTATTATCTTTGATACTAAAACGATCCAAAAAATTTGTGGAGCTCAGTTGATAAGTCATCCGATATATATTTATATTGTTACGTTGCTTCTGTGTAAAATGTCAAGTGTATTTATCATATCTACAAATAGACCTACAGTACAGTATATCTGTTGTTGTCACTCATTGCCTTCTTCTTCCTCTCAATCCTATACAGGATTTACTGCTTGGCTGGAGGACCTCAAGTCAGCTTTCAGGCCTCATAATTTGCTGCTGACATCAGCAGTCAGTGCTGGTCGACGCACTATTGACCGTGGCTACGACATCCCAAAAGTTGCTAAGCTGCTGGACCTGGTGAGCAACACATTTACAGTACTTCTCACTGTATAGTTAGGGGTACAAGTATTTTCATGGCAATATACAGTACAGAGTATAGGATAGCTAAAAAATAAGATTGCATTAATGGGCAAAACTGAAAGTAGAAGGCCAGGGGAAGCCAGAAACTGGAATGGTTGGACAAAATTAAAAGTTGCACATCCAGAGAGATACAAAATCTGGGAAGATTAGTAAAGACAGCCAAACAATGTGTGGAGTGGATGACCATGGTCACCAGCCCTCAGACATGAGGATGGCACCTTGATCAACTGATTGATACAAAGATACCTGAATGTTCTCAACACAAACAGAAAGGCTAAGGACACAGACACTAATGATTTACCAGTGAACTACAGGTACAGTGTCATCGTATTTTGCTTCCATCAGGTATTTCAGTGGCCATTTATGTGGCTCAGAGTTGGCTTGATAATGTGTTATAGTCTTATAGAACCTGTGTGTGTGTGTGTGTGTGTGAGAGAAACATTTATAGTGTTTAGAGGTCACCTGATTTTTGGGTTCATAGACATGTTCAAGAAACAATATCATGCAAACTTAAATTTTAAACTGGTCCTTAATTTTCATTGCCATCATCAATCACAATACTTGTACACAACATAACTCCAATCTTCTTTCCCATAAATTTATGCACAGTTGTTTTACTACCACAAAGATAGACCAGTTCTCTAATAGACACATATATTGAGATAGAAATTCCTCTTCAGTTTATATTTAATCCCATCTTCATCTCACCTGAGCCCTACTCTCATTTGAATTCCAGTTTCACCTCTTTTAATTTCTTTTCACACTTCAATAGAACCTTATCTTCACTTCATATGAGCCCTAACCACACCTTATGTCCAGTCTGAGACACTCTTCACTTCCACAGATCCACCTGATGTCCTATGACTTCCATGGGTCGTGGGAGAACAAGGTAGCCCATCACTCGCCCCTGTACGCTGAGGCTGGTCAGAACCCTGAGCTGTGTACTGACTTCGCCGTCAACTACTGGATCAAGAAAGGTGCTCCAGCTCACAAGGTGATACTCCCATCACTATCTGGGAAGGGCTGGAGGTAGTACAGTACTGTGGGAATGAGGTTAACATTTTCAGGTTCTGAGAATGGGTACTGTACGGTATTAGGAGGACAAGGGAGGCATGGCAGATGTGTGTGTGTGATGTACTGTGAATGCACATGAGAGAGAAATAGCATTGGCAGCTTCTATCCAACTGTGAATTACAGTGGAAACCTTGAGGCCAGGTACCTTTATACAGATATACAAAGGTATACAGTATAATGTTTTGATTGTCTTCATCTGAAAAATTATGGCAGTAGAGGTTGATGATCTCTTTAGGTCAAGCATTTATACTCAGGTGTCAGTTTAGGATTCTGTGTGGCTTTGTCTTGTTTTTTATATTTTAAAGATCTTGAGAACACCTCAATCAGTACAGTATAGTTTAAATTTGAATGACATGCTTTATCACCAAGCAGTGTGTTCTCTTGTTAGGGGAGATACAGTATGAGGGCTTGAGCTGCCACCATTTATGAGGGCTTGAGCTGCCACCATTTATGAGGGCTTGAGCTGCCACCATGTATGAGGGCTGCTACTGCCACCCTTCATGAGGGCCTGTGTGCCAGTAACAATTCCTTTTACTCTTATATATCACCATTGGTAGCGTGACGATAGGAGGCTCGTGGGTAGGTGTAATGATAGTATCAAGCAATAGGGAAGAAATAACGGTAAATACTGTAGGTAAATAATATACACAATTATACAAATACAAAGTTTATTTAAACATGAATATGAAATTAGAAGAAAGAATTGGTTTGTACTAACAGACGAAATCTATTACTAGGCCCTCAGGCTCAACATACTCACACCATTACTGGGTGGACATATTCAATACACTTCCAACCCTACTGGGTGGACATACTCAATAGCACAACTATGATAGTCACTTAGCACCATAAATACTAGGCAACTGCCACTACAACACTCAGTCGTCAGGAGTGATACTCAAGCAACAGCCATGGGGTCCAGCCACCATGGAGTACTATCTGACGAACTCTGGAGATCCCAGTGGGTTAATTCCACCACACAAATATAGCCCTACTGAGGTAGACATTCATCCACCAATGATGGGGGCTGGTAGTGGTGTGTGGCTTGGTGGTCCAGGGTCACCTCGTGGACCGAGCGTTAGGGCCAGACGAGCCAGCTATGGGGGCTATAGGTGGTCTGAAGTGTCTGACGGCCGGGTCTCACGAAGGTAACTGATCCTACTGGACCTCGGACATGTCCCCAGACATAGTGGATACAACATCCACCCTACAGACACGGCCTAGGCTGCGTTAGGGACCTGTATGGATGAAGGGACGGGCACTTACTAACCGGTGACAACAACAACACGTTTCAGGGGACGTTAAAGACGTAAATATGACTTTACTCAGAGCATATCAACTACGTTACTGTAACACTTGCACAATCAACTATCAATTGGGTCAAATCACTTAAAGAAGGGCAAATTACAACACAGCGTGGAATGGCATACCTGTATGGATGAAGGGACGGGCACTTACTAACGGTTAAAATGCCCGCGTGCCCTCACTCAAACCAGACCAGGGAGTCCAGCTACTCCTATTCCAATGAATTAATTTACGGTACCCTCTGACGTTGAAATTGAGACTATGAACTCATTTTCATTCTCTACTATTATCTTCACTAACAATGCTCTGACTCAGCTATCGAAAGCAAAATTAAATTGATTACAAAGGAATGGATGGCAACAGGTCCCAGCATACAGCGTCTGCTCCCATAGACAAAGGCGGGGGAAACAGAGAAAACGGGGGACGTTTCCACTGGGGGACTCGGAAGGTTTTGTGGACGTTTGAGCGTAATATGAATCCTTAAGGTTTTCAGGTTAGCTCTTATCATGACCATTACAACAGTACAGTACAGTATTAACCTTCTGGGGAACATTATAGGAGAAGGTGAAATGTCAACAGTCAGACCACAGAACACAGGTTGGAAATGTACAGTACCTCGACAACAACTGATACAGTGTGACTTTAACAACACCCTAAATTTGTTTGTGGAAGAAGGTAAAAGATTAAAGCTTAATACATAGTAGGTTTAGCTGTATGGATGAGAATTACAGACTGCTCTATACCCTTTTAGCTGTGATTTACATCGTGGATCACAGTATAAATTCCACATCCTGATCACCAGTAAATTTCACTTTTAAACATATTTTTATATAATACTCCAAGATAAGAAATGAGTGACTAGGCTGTACCCCCAGTAACCTACCATTAGTTATATGCAGTACTGTACTATACTATCACTTCTGTATATTAATGTGAAGTGTACAGATAGTTATTGGTGTGCCTCTGTATGGACGATCATGGACACTGGCAGGGGCTGAAAACTTCCCAGGGGCGGCTGCTAGAGGTCCTGGACAACAGGGCCGCTACATCAAGGCCTCTGGCAACATGGCTTTCTTTGAATGCTGTCTGGCTCATCAAAAGGTTCTTATTTTATCTAAACTTCTGATTCATTATACATTTTAAGTACTGTACACTAGTGAAGATTTTAAATACTGAACTATACATAGCAGGTATTTCAAAGTTTGTTTGTAATCTACAGTACAGTAATTTTTTATACTGTATAGCTTATATTATGTACACTAATTCTTTTGTAATTACTGCCATCTGTGTGTGTGTAGGAAGGCTGGACAAAAGTGACTGGTGAAGGAGGACCTTACATAACTAAAGGCGATCAGTGGGTGGGCTATGATGATGTTGATGCAGTTGTGAAAAAAGTAAGACCCAAATCTCAAGGTTCACACAGTTCATTTTCCTTTTTAACTGAAAATTGTGTACATTTGTTTTGTCCCCTGACTGGTGCTAGGTGAAAGCATCTAATTGAAATAGTCTTCGTAGAATTTTATTTCTAAATCTGAAAGTTTGTTTTATATTTTAAGTCAGCCAGTTATGTGCTCTTTTAAATCATCAGTTATGAGGAATATTTATCTAATGAATCTTTGAGAATATATACCTAAGAATTATGACATAAACCCATGAGACAAACCATAACTAATGCATTGTCTGTTCACTCGATTCATTGACCTCTTTATGAAGAAGAGTCTTTAACATCTTTCAACTCTTCTGTCTTGACACAGGCAGAATATGTGGCCTCTCGAGGCTTAGGTGGTATTATGGTGTGGGACACAGCGACCGATGACTTTGGGAACTACTGTGGTCTTGGTCACAACCCTCTCCTGACAGCCATTGCCAAAACTCTTAATGGCAGCACAACCAGCACTTCACTCACATCTCTGGACAGGAGACCCTCAAGACCTCAGGCAGGATCTTCACAAAAGCTGCCGCCAGGAAACGAGAAAACTAAAGGTGTTGGGAGCCACGGTAAACAAGATACCATCAACACTGCTGGCACAAACACTATTGGTGGTGGTACTTCTGGAAGAAAGAACTCAAATGTAGAAAGAGTGAAAAATAACAGAAATAATGTTGAAACCACGACAAAACTCTTCTACCCTTGGCAAGCGTGGTATGTATGTCTGTATCTTAACACTGTTACTACTGTACGATCAACTCCTAGTGACACCTTCCATTAGTTCTTCCTCTATCTGTTTTAGTGATAGATTCATTACATTTATTACAGAAAACTATTCACTAACATCTCTGACACTTGTTTGATCTCTTCCTGTACTTCTTAATTATTAAAAAAAAATCTGTACAAAAGAAGGTTGCAAAATGTCACCTCACAAAATAAGTTATGCAGGAATCATCATAAACACTGTAGGAGGAAAAGGAATTACTCAGACAACTTCCCAGACCTAATCATTCCCTCAGATCATAGTCAGTAATGTCCCAGATTATAAGAATTCATAACAACACAAGTAATTATTAAAACTTAAGAATATATTTGTCTTCTTTTAATTTAGAATTTTCCCTACAGGCCATTCTTCAGCCAGGCCAATGAGAAGAAACAAGACTTCAACTCAATTTCTCCCACGGCAGTTTCTCGTTTCACTTCTCGGCCGTCCTCTTCATCCTATCCCAACTTCAAGTTAATATTTACAACTACCACTCCTCCTCCGTTAACTCCATCTCGCTTTAATTTTCAATCACCTCATTCATTTTCCCCTTCTCGCTTCACTTCTCGGCCGTCCTCTTCACCTTATCCCGACTTTAAATCAATATTTACAACTACCACACCACCGTTATCCCCATCTCGGTTTGATTTTCAGTCACTATCATCTTCGCCTTCTAAGTTCACTTCTTGGCCTTCCTCTTCATCTTCCTCTTCTCGGCCATCCTCTTCACCTTACCCCGACTTTAAATCAATATTTACAACTACCACACCTCCATCAACCCCATCTCGGTTTAATTCTCAGTCATCCTCTTCATCTTACCCCAATTTCAAGTTAATCTTTACCACCACTACTACTACTACTCCTCCTGCTGCTGCACATTCATCATTTGCTGCCTCATCCTCGTCATCATCAGGAGTCTCGTGGTTCGCAGACTGCAACGCTCTGGGCTTTGCTCCTGACCCCCTCTCCTGTAACACTTTCTACAGATGTACCAACAACTATGCATACAAGTAAGTTACAGTACCTATACAGAATGCAGTGGACGTTACCTCACAGGGAAAGTATAGTATTGTAAATCGAAGTAAAGAGTTTTTAATTCCATATGACTTCACCAGTTAGTCAAAGAGTTAATCTGAATCCTTGGTCACCCAGTTCAACCAATCATTTTGAATTATTATGTACTGTACTGTACTGTATATTGCACTATGTTTTGTAATGTCTGATTTAGATTATTTTTAAGTACAGTACAGTACAGTATAGTGCAGTACAGGTACAGTACCGGGTATATGAATTTAGTAAAGATTATTTATACTTGAGCATCCTTAACTAAGACCTTTTTACATTATGACTTTACTAATAATTAAGTGTTTAGAAATCCATGTACAGTATTGTAAAAATTGTGTGGTTGCAGGTTTGACTGTCCTGGTGGGCTGTTATGGCACCAGGACCAGTCTTCTTGTGACTGGCCCGACGCTGTCCAGTGTATCCTCCCACTCACACCGCCCGACATCCAACACTTCCTCCCTCCACACAACGCACGGTTTTAAAACTTAAGTCATTCCCTGTCCTCTGTAGCCAATATTAGGGAATTTTGTTGATAGTTCATATCCTAATGATATTCACTGCTCTATATATTATACAGTACAATGATATTTGTTTCTCAAACTATAACTCTCAGCCAATTAGTAAGTCCTTACATTATTTTTATTAATTTAATGGTAAGTGTTACTTGTGCACCTCTTCCTGTAGAATGATGCCCTACTCCTGCACCTCTCTTCCTATTCCAATGTTCTTTGTTTAAAAGAATGGCTTCAGTCGTGGCCTTTATTTTTATCCTCTTCACCACTGATCGGCTCGTTAGCCTTTGAATATTTCCTTCTTGGTATTATTTTAATGTCATCTTTTCACTGATATTGTTCTTAGAAAATGTAAATATTTTTCAGATATTCTGTTGATTTTCTATGTTATTAGTTGTAGACACTCTCTAGATGCTGTACAGTAATAAAAGTACTACAGATCATTAGTGGTATTGTTCATAATACTGTACTGACAACTGTACTGTACTGTATATGTTGAAGAATACCACTGTCATGGTTTGTATGTCATTGGGTCTATATGTCCGTACTCTTGCCTGAAGTCATAAATATTTTAAGCACAATGACAGCAAGTTCTCTGTTTCAAATTAAGTTTTGATGTTCTTCAAGGGAAGGTTTCAGATAAGACCATTTGAGCTGTTACTGATCATGAGCAAACTTTTGGAAATGTTGTACTATAGTGCAGTATGTTATGAAATGATGGTCTTGTTAAGTCTTAAGACAAAAAGTAGAAAGGTTTTAATACCTTTTTTAACAGTACACTTGTGTTTTAAATGTGGGTGATTGTTGTACTGTACAGTATTATTAATGTCTGGGTAAACATAAATACTGTACTTAAAATACTTGTTAACTTAATCATGTATTATGACTGTGTGTTTGATGTTCCTGGCTGCCTTATTGCCAGATGACACTATACTGTAATAGGTGTTAGTTAGAGCATTTCGGTGGATGTTCCTGGTGGTCTTATGTCTCACAAGACATGAAAATAATAGAACTGTACAATTGCAATTATTTCTGGATAAGGAAGTCTGATATTGCAGCCTGTTTATTCTTTTTGACAGTCTTAATTTTATCAAAGAAATAATACACATCCTCTGGAGGTTGATGGTCTGTGTTTCCCCATCTCTCTAGGGCAACAAAATTACTCTAAGCTGCCACTGATCGGCCTGTTAGCTGCTTCAGCTGCAAACTTAACCCAAAGAAATTACAAATTTATCACTGTGAGCCTTTACAAGTGACCCCGATTGGTTTCAAGTGTGGTCACAGAATTTTATGCTGATATTCAACACTGAAAATGTAAGAGACTGCACAGGTACCCAGGTTGTACTTGGCATACTGCATGTCCCATCATAATGAAGACATTTCTCCAACTGAAAGTACTGTACACATGATAAAAAAGTATCTGTGCACATTAACACAAAACAATCTGACACCAAAAGATGATAGATATTGCAATATACCATATATCACTTGCTAGCAAGATCTCCTGTTTTATCCATAGTAAGTACAGTATTGTTATTATATGGTCATTCAGAAGAAAGAGATTAATCTTATGAAACAATGTATACAAGGTCTGATCGAAAAGTGTCCGACCTTCAGCAGGAGAAAAAAAAACAAGCTTACTTACTGAGTTCAGACTTTAGTCCCCTTCAAAGTGCTGTAGGCCCCTTGGGACTCAACACACTTAGCCCAGCAGTCCTTCCATTGCTGGAAACATTTTGTAAAGTCAGTTTTTGCGATCGCCAGCATGATCTTCATCGCATTTTTCTTTGTCTCATTTGTGTCCTCAAATCTCGAACCCTTCAGCGGCATGTTAATATTAAAAAACAGCCAAAAGTCGCAGGGAGCCATGTGAGGAGAGTAGGGAGCCTCCCGGACCTGTGTGATCCTGTGTTTGACCAAAAAATCCTGGACAAGATGGGATGATGAGTGGGCTGGCTGGAGCATTGTCGTGGTGGAGCTGCCAGTCCTCCGCCTCCCACAACTCTGGTCTCTTTTTTACGCACTGCATCCCGTAGGCGACGGAAAACTCCCCTGTACTTACAGAACAGTGTCTAAAATCCCACTATATCATAGCCTATGTCCTTAGATACATCTAAAATCACTTAATTTAAGACAAAAGAAGAAATAGAATGACAAAATACAGAAATTGAAAGTAAAAAATAAGTCATCAGGTAAACAAAATACTATAAATTTCAAGTTTAACCTCGTTCATATTGACTGGCATTCACAAGTCGGATGTATGTAAGTCAGGGACCTCCTGTACACTGTTTTTTGTGTTTCTATTTCTCGTCCCTTTTATTTGCTCTCTAACATTTCCTCTGTTGTACACTATAATCACATTAAGTCATTTTTGTATAGCAGTAGAGGTGGTCGAGTCACACTTGTTACACTATGGGTAACATTAAAAATATATATCGTGTCTATATAATTAAATAATAATGATACAAAAGACATTTTACTTCATCCTAACCACTGAAATAGGTTCATCACATCCTGAACCCAACAAACACAGACAGCCGAGGGAGGGAACGTGTCCACCAATGATTCAGATTTGATGATTTGTTGGATTATCTTTAGCTTTTATGTCAGTCAAAAATAGTAATGTACTGATCACAATCATACATGTTACTTATCTTTCAGTCAGACGCTTCACATTACGCTCAATAGCCCATAAAACATGTATACGTAATTCGTTTCTCGAGTCACCCGCTTCAACAACCAAGGACTTTAAGCACTTGAAGAGGTTTGTGATTACACGAGTCCATCAACAACTTATGAGAGATATAACCCCCTGTACTGTACTTGTTACCACATACCAGAGAGGTGGCTAGCAGTAACCTTTACCTCAATTTACCACCTTCACCCAGGCCTACTTCTAACAGGTTAATGTAAAAACAAAATTTTTTCACCCACTTACTAAAAGTAAAATAAAAGCATAATTATAAAAAAGAATTTTGGTTCTTGAGAGTAAAGATAAACCTGCTTGTACTGTACAGTACTAATATTCAGAAGACTGGTGGGCCACTCAAGCTTGATGGGCCACACTCAAAGCCTGATGGGCCACACTCAGAAGCTTGATGGGTCACACTCGGAACAGAAGCCTTATGGGCCACACTCAATTCTGATGGGTCATACTCGCAAGTCTGACTAGGCTAAGCAAAATCTGGTGTGGTACATCAGACTTGCGAGTGTGACCCATCAAGCTTTTGAATGTGGCCCATCAAGCTTGAGTGGCCCATCAGACTTAGAATATGATCCACCAGTCATGAATGTGGCCCATCAGGGTTCAGAATGCAGCCCATCAATCTTCTGACTGTGACCAACCCACATATATATTCACAATAAACAATTTTCCGAATTCCTGGTAATAAACGTATTTTTGTAGTTCTGGCCTATTGATTGACATTTATATTACCTTTTAAGCAGAAGGAACATCACTACCTATAACACCATTGGCTTGTGAGTATACTGTTACCAATTTACCCACACTTTTTAACTCCTCAATATCACAAAAACCAACAAAAGTTTACAATCACATAACAATAGTTTCTCCCAACGATAATTCCTTTACCTGTTATTTTAATCCAAATTTTGCTTTTAATATTAAGTTTATTAACGTAACTTTACCTTCTGTTGTTTACCTTCTGTTGTTTACCTTCTGTTGTTTACCTTGTTTACCTTCTGTTGTTTACCTTGTTTACCTTCTGTTGTTTACCTTCTGTTGTTTACCTTCTGTTGTTTACCTTGTTTACCTTCTGTTGTTTACCTTGTTTACCTTCTGTTGTTTACCTTGTTTACCTTCTGTTGTTTACCTTGTTTACCTTCTGTTGTTTACCTTCTGTTGTTTACCTTCACGTTGGTTACCATGACAACGATGACGCCACTTGTGTCTCGTGTGCTCAACCAAGTGGCTGTGGTTCTCTGTGGTTTCTAAGTTGTTTATCTTGTTTATGTATTAATTATTAGCAACCATCACATCAGAAGACAAGGTAAACAAGTACAGTAATTGTGGTTATTAGTTTATATCATGTATTGACCACCTAATTACCGTCTTGTTGTATGGTAGTTTGGTGAAAGTTTATATCATAGGTAGTAAGGAGTATCTGTGTAAGTGAAAATGGTTATCTTGTTTAATGGTCGTTAATTACAAGGATGGAAACTACATAAACTACATATAATGAACTAAACGAACCTAATTTAACCTAAAATGACGTCTTGGGCAAAATCACTAAACTAATGCTACAGTGAGAGGTGGGAGGGGGGGGAGTTAGTTTTAGGGGGGTTAAAAGTATAGTAT